GCGAGACACACCCGCGCTACAGCACTGACCACCCTCCGGCACGCCCGTCTTCCTCGGGCACCCATGCACACTCCATCCTCCGATTTCACACGAGCCACCCATCTAAATCCCGAGTCCAATGCCAGCTTCTTGAGCACTCCTATGTGCGGTTGCCTCCTGCATGATCTACTCCGAGGTTCCGTGGACCACTGATCCGCGCCAAGACTCCGGCCCAATCCGCATGCTCTGCTAGGGCTCATGCGCAACCCCGCGATTGCGCGTAACTCTGCTTGTTCTTGCCTTCATTCCGACCGGGCCTAATCTCATGACCCGCACTCCTGGGTCCCCTCTACGTCTGATGCATAGCACGATCCCACGCGAAATCGCACGTCCAACCCACTTCCGCATATGTCCACACGTAACCAAAGCCCGCACCCCGTGCGTGTTCTCCTGCGCGACCCAAGCTGCCACCTTCCACACGAACCCCACACTGATCCACCCGCGACCAGCCCGCATCTCCTACATGAGCCTAATGTACGCGCCTGTCGTGCCTAGCTTTCCACACTGCAAGCCAATTCACACTCAGAATCTTTCTCTACGGACCTCCTTCTCAAGCTTCAGTTTTGTTCTGGTAGGCTCACAATACAAGATCCCGACTCCGCCTCCCTCACTGCCTTCCACCCACGCCTTCTGGCTTTGCCTCACGCAAACAAGATCGCAACCGAAGTCGCGCCTCCTCTCCTGTCAGCTTCACGCAAATGAAATCGCAGCCAGAAACCAGTCCTCTTGCATCCAATCGCGGATCCCGCATGCGAGCCCAACACCAACCCCAACCTTGCTCCCTGCTTACACACGAACGTCACTAGAAAGCCAACCGCCTCCTCTTCTTGATTACAATAGAATTCCTCCTCAATCGCATCTACGAGGCTCTAATATCACTTGTTGAGAAATTCTTTGGGAGAAGGAGCTATCTTGGATCTTCTTGGATGAAAGAGAGGGAGGGAGAAGAAAGAGAGAGGCAGGGAAGGGAGAATTCTTTATTGAATTAATTCCATCAATGGGGTCCTACTATACATCTATAAATAGGAATTGATACCGTGTAGCGTCTTGCAGAACATCATAACTAAAACTGGACCAAATACTCTAACATCTTGTTGGATATCATATTAGATTGGGAATTATAACTTTTTAGCTATGGACATTTATCTCTTTAATGATGATTTAGGATTTAATTTAAATAGTTGTAAAGGGCATTAAGTTATTGTTTGGCTAATGTTATTTCAATAAACAAACCATGTATCTCTTTTTAGACTTAATTAATTGATGTAAAATTTTTCTCGAGAATTTGAGCCAATCCTCCTTTGGATCTCATGGGTATGTCATACTTCTCCTTTGAGTTTCAAATAACAAATGAAACAAATTGTTTCTCACGAACCGGCCTAGAGGCTCGAATTAACAAGGCAGGAACAGATAGTCGGACGCTCAACTAAATTTTCAATTAATAACTAACTATTTCTAATAAACAAAAAGAGCTACTAAAGCCTTAAATTTGAAACAAATTGAAAAAACCATTCAAATACATTTCTTCCGGTGCGACACGTCTACAATACACATTTTCACCTCTTATATTCATTTTGATTATATTAAATTATACCTGAAAATGTTAGAGCAATTAAAATAAGCTACAGCTTAGTGAGTAAAACATGTTTCTAAATTACAGTAACCTAAGGCAGTTGGAATAATATGTAATGATCATTTCAATTCATATTATAAATTAATTTCATTTCAAGACTTTCAATATTATGCATGTACAATATCTTTTTAGCTCTTTTATTTTTTCTCATAAATAATACAACCGTCACAGGAGCCACCGTCTAAATTAGTACCAATAAATGTACTCATTTTTCCTTTTTTTCTTTTCCTTTTTACATAACCTTTTCCATTGACGTGCACAAGTACGTTGCATCCCCAATTAGTACTATAAATGGTTGGGCTCCATCATTCAACATTCACATACAAACATTTCTATATAATCATTTCATTCATTTATTATTTAATAACTTTTGATAGTGCATATGCTGAATAAAAATGCTAACTATCAAATAATTTAATATGACCATTCAAAAAGAAATGCTAGAATTTTACAATAACCATTAACTAGCCAATATCAATTAATTCAATGAACTTGAAATAAAGAAAATAACATCATTATTATAAAATAAAAGCATGAGTACTCACTTTGATTAGGATTGTTTGCTCTTAATGTCCTTACTCTGACTTCAACAAAATGACACATAATAATACATAATTTCATGAGGTTATTTTAACTTATATATAATCATATCTCTCTAATTAATTATTAAGTATACTTAAATAGTTCTTATTTTTAAATAAGAAAACTTGTTATCCTCTTTTTAACAGTTATGTATATCAACTATGATTTAATTATCATTCATTTATAATATTGTCATATTTAATAACTTCTCATTTAAACTTAACATACCCTCTTTAATAATTTAATTAAAAAAATATCTCATATGCTCTCACTCTATAATTTCATATTTATTTTACTACTTGGAATTATTCATTCATTCTCCCTCCCTCTCTCTCTCTCTCTCTCTCTCTCTCTCTCTCTCTCTCTCTCTCTTAAACTATACTTTCTTTATTACACATCATAATTAATCCTCTTAATTATCCTTTTTCAAATAAAATTTTATATCTTATTTAACTCTCATAAATTACATAAATTGCTCTTTTTTCTTTTTCTATTTATTTATTAAATATGCTTAAATAGTTATCATATTTAATTTATTAAATTAGGAATAAAACTTGTTCTCCTTGTATTCTCATTGAAATATGAATCATAATTTATTTATAAAATTTTTAAATAAATAGGGAAACTTACCTCTTTCTAGATGAAATTTTTTATTTAATTATTACAATTTTCTAAATTTGAATTATGGAGGTCAACCTTAGAGTCTAAAGGTTTTCGCTTGAGTAGATCTAAAACGGAATATATTTCCAAAATTTACCTCGGAACTTAGTTCGTTAAAACTCTCTCGCCGAATAAGAAAAGCGAGCGGAGGCCGGGGACGAATTTTCGGAGCCCACATATGTTAAGAAAGGTAGGGGTAGACCTAAAAAGACTTGGTTAGAAAATATTAGGAATGACCTTTCTTTATTAGGTTTAAATGAGAATTTGACTTTTAATAGAACACAATGGAGAAAAAGGATTCATGTAGCCGACCCCACGTAGTGGGATAAAGGCTTGATGTTGTTGTTGTTGTTGTATTACAATTTTCTAAATTAAATTTCTATTTTAGTTTATTTATGATATCTCTCTTCACTTAATATTCTTCATTATTTCTATTTTAATTTATGAAATCTTGAATGAATTTATAGAATTTTACTCTTTGTTTTATATATATATTTAATGATAAAATTTTATCATTGATCATTTTAATGAAAAAAAAAATCATAATCTAATTCTTACTATTCTCTAACTGATATTTTAAATTTTCTAAAATAAATAATTCTAATATATATATATATATATATATCTTAAAAATCTTCTTATAATTATCTTTTATTAAAAATTCTAATAATACATATATTAAATTTCTATTTAAAATATAATTTTTTTCTTAATAATATTAAAAACAAACCTTACATCTCACTTGCCCTAGCCACTCGCCTGCGTGAATGCCTTCGTTTGCTCTCTTTCACACCCGCTCTCTCTCCCTCTCGATCGTTCGCCCGTTCGCCCCTCTCTCGGTTTCCCTCCTCCCTCTCTTCTCTAATTTATAGAGATGAAGCCAGCGATGGCATCCCGAACCCTTCGGCTTCCAAGACACCAAACGACGAAACGATCTTTGTTGGGCCCTTTTTGCCTCTCTAGCGAACTCAAGTGCCAGCTCCAAGTAATGAATATTCGTTCCTTATGTCTTCTCGTCGTCTATCCTTTGGAGATTGTTGCATTTCCTTCATCCTCCTCTTCGTCTTCCTTCCAGGTAAGGTCGGCATATTACATTGTTTCTCAATTCCTAGATCATCCCTCGTCTCTACATCTCCTACTTCAAGAAGTTGTTGGCATCCCATCTTTTTCTACTTCAAATCTGCTGCAAAACTCTACCAATCTCCATTTGATTTCCTAAAAAACTTCATATAATTTTTTTAAGATAGAACTGAAGTTGAATAGAATGATCAAGTCACATCAAGCATATTATTTATCGGTAAAAATATCTATTTGAGGATAATGTTGTGGCCCATTTCAATGCCATGAAGCAAAAACATAGTGCAAAAGGTTTAATCTAAGGCAGAACATGAAATGCAGGGTCAGATTACAAAATTTTAGAATAAAAAATGTATATTTCCTTACCGATCTTAGATTAAGATAAAAAATCAGTGTGAAGTGCTTCTCTTAGGAACTCAAAGAAGCTTACAAAATGAATGCTTAGAAAGAGGTCAAACAACAAATCAAGCAATCAATAGTCGACTATTTCAAGCAGGTGGTGTAATAATTTGACAAATATCAACAAACAACTAGGCAGATAAATGTCGTGAGTTTATTGCCATAAAAGATGCTTGTAATTAAAGTGAGGTCCTTTTGATATGAAGAAATATTGAAACAGGATACATCAATAAATATAACTAATCTCAGGTCAAAAGGGTCAAGAGGCATCAAACTCTTCACCTACTGCAGGAAATGGGAAACTGCGACAACCCAATACCCTCAATAAAACACTGATATCCCTCCAAACTAATCAGAAGTAACCCTCGTTTTCTTCTTAATGCATCCAATGGATATAGAACTTCACGGAGAAGGCATGGAACATTCCTCCTCTAGCTAATAAATCATTATAAGTTAAAAATGGCAAAACATGAAAAATCGGCCACTAAGAACAATCTACCTATTTAAGGCATTTGATTAATGGGCACACTCAAATAATTTAAAAGTGCTGTTCTCATAATTGATATATTGTTTCGGGCGCACTCATAATTTGATTAACGGACAAGCTGACCTCTGGAATCTTGCCTCCAACTCATTACGGATATCAGTAGTAAGCGGAACAGAAGAACCATCTGCATTACACAAAACATGTGTGCATCTTGAAATTATACTCTCTGGAGCACCTTTAGAAAACATAAGCTCTTGCTGCTTCCGAGAACAGAGAACACTCATCATTTTGCGGTCCCGAGAAAACTCCAAAACAGCGATCTACATCACAGCATTAACTATCAGGAATAGTTACAAACTGAAATAATTTAAGATGAAAATGGGAAATAAATTGTATTATGAGCCAACACTGAAAATTGCTAGGTGCAACAATACGAGCTGCAAGCATTAGTACTATCCAAGACTGGAAAGTATAATAGAGAAAAGACAGGACCTTCTTGAACTGGTGCTCCCAATAGCGGTTGCAGTAAGATGCTCGCTCATGCTTACTCAACATATTCAAAGCTGACGGCATAGAATCAAAGCCAGGTAGGCCAACCTGATGGCATTCATACAAATAAATAGCTAGACATTGCAGAATTGTTGTTTCTTCTAAAAGATTTAAAAAAAAAAACTCATCCTCTCGAACATTTGGTGTAGCTATCAGCTGACCTTTTCGACTAGCACTCGGAGAGCAACTTCAGTTGACTCCCCAATCTTTTCATAGCTCCTCTTATCAGGATTATATTGCAGAATGGACTCGTTGCAAAGAGCTGAGCACATGGCTATATGAAGTAGGCATGGATATTGTGCAGTGAACTCAAGCTGCATAATTAGATAAGGTCAATAGGAAAAACAATTCCTAAAAAAATTTTAAAACAAAGAATATGCAAATATCTTTTTTTCCCCATTATGACTGGTTAGTCCCGCGCTTAGTACAGTGAGGAAAATAACAAAAAAGAGCTCTTGTAAAATTAAATTTTTCAATAATCTGAAAAATGTGCCTAACGTATTGAGTGTATCACCCATGACCCGGAGGATGAGGTTATCCTTCTTTAAGCAAGTGAAACGTGAATATGCAGGAGTTTTTGCTCCGAGATGTTACTTTAATATTAAAAGATATTCTAAACATGAATGCACAACTTCATAGAATAAACAAGGACATCAAGATAAACAAGTGCAAATATAGACCGAAATATCCTCTTTAATGTCAACCAAAGGAAACTTGATAATCCTCACAAACATGTTCAACTTAAATAAAGCAAATATTAAAAAAAAAAAAAGATAACCTAATAATCTATCACATGCTGCAGAAGCAACAACAAATAATACAGGAATAACATGAATCAAGACTGCTCAAAGCCCATAATCAGATAGCGGAAATATGGTTTATCATGCAAACTCATCTCCATTACAGAACTGCCACTACAACAATAATTATAAGTTTTTATTTCATAATTTTCAAATGAAAAAAGTTCAGAGTTTTCCAAGCTTAATCAACCTTATTTCCATTATGTAAATCATGGAATATCAGGATAGAAGTGTGTAAATACAACCTGCATCCCTGCAGCATCAAAAATCAGACCCTCTGGTGCAAAAGTCGTTCCACTAACAGTGTACTCATTGGTAATTGGACCACAATGCACAGATCCGACAACACAAATCTGCATAAGATTTGAGAGAAAACTTACACATCAATTACTGATTCTATAAAAATATTGCCTAATTATCATGAGCAACTTATATAACAAGTGCGGAAACAAAAATATAAACCATAAACGTTGAACCAACTGACCAACAATGAAAACTACTCCAAGTTGCGACAGAGGGGCAAAAAAAAGCCTGATCCTAACAATGTCCAAGTTTCAGCAGAAGAAATATACATTGGTCTCTATCAAGTGAGCATCCTAAATAAATAAGAGCAAATTTCCATGTTATCGTGTATATTACAATTTCATAAATATAACAAATAAGCTCACAAATCAAGGATTTTAAGAGCGCATGGATGCAGGAATTTTTTGTTCATAAACATATAATAAACACTCTTCTTAAAATAATAATCTTCCCTTAAAACTAATCAAGAATAAGCCTAAATAATTCTCCGACTATTCGTATGTGAACAATTTAATTCCAAAGTATCACATCTTTAAATTAGTCCTTGATTAAATAAAATTGATCCCAAATGGTCCCTCAAAGATTAAATTGGGATCAATTTTAAATAGTTGAGGGATTATATTGAGATCAATTTTATATCCCAATTTATATCAATTTCTGTCGAAGGGACCATTACAAATTAATTTTGTTTATTCAGGATATTAAATTGGAGAAATGTGATAGTCAAGGACTAAATTGAACACATACAAAAAGTTGAGGGACTAATTTAGACATTTTCTCAAAAACAATCTACAAAAAATTTGAAATCACACAACATGTATCCAAATTCTCTGAATGCAGTGTTTCTGGTAATATCTCTTTATATTGTTTCCCAACAATTCAACTATCCTAAATGAATTGCTATTAATCATCTTGAATGGTGACATGGTTCAACAAACCTAGAAGTTGAAGCCCTTCCACCGGCCAGAACTACTCTTTTTTTAATTATTCAGATGAGCTGTCAACCCAGCAGTTAAACTGCTGAAGTCTGCCAGTTTAGGGGAAACTTAAACCTACAAATCATTCCACTGGAGCTTAAGACAAGCCAAATTTGCCAACTGGTCCAATTAGTTGGGACCGGTCAACGATCAGTAAATTTCCTTTCTTCTCTTGTTTTTTCCCTTCAGCATTTGTTAAACTTAACAAGTGAAAAATTGCCAAAGTTAACAGCCGAAACCACAAGGTCAAATAAGCGTTCACTTTATCAAATAGCTGCAACAGTAGGGAAAAGGATGCTGTTGTCGCATTCACGGTAGAAAATCCACAACACTTTTTCCAATAGCACCTGCCTAGTGAAGTATCTAGGAAAAAAAAAAACGTTTCCAAAAAGTGAAAGACCTCAAGTGAAGTGTTTGAACACCCGGTGAATCTACCATTAGCTTTGAATAAGACAATCAGAACATGATTAGAACCATTTCTATTGTACAGCCATTAGATATTAATTACTAATTGCAAACGTTCATTTCAACCAAATAAAACACATAACATCAAAATGAAAGCGTTGGATCAAGATAGAGACGTGCTATCTTATGAGCCTTTGCAGAACATTTCTTAGGTGATTGTTAGAAAGCAAAACAACAGCAATAGTAATATGGTATAATTGCCAAATTCATGACAAGGGCCAGGAATATATCAACAAAGAAAGACAAAATCCCGAAGAATGCAGTAATGTTGCACATGCCTGAAAAGAAATCAACCACAGGCTAATAAAAATTGAGAATGAAGTGCTAGCAGTTTCATTAAACTGAGATGAAAAAAGAACAGCCCATTTAAATAAGCATTCCTATTAATAAGTATATAACATTTCCAACATACGGACAAACATTGTTAACTTTCTAAGTTCCTCACGGTTTACAATATCGTGCACCTTTAAGATTGCGTAGCAATCAAAAAAGTATTCCAGAATATCATTAAAAGAACCTAGGACAGCAAACAAGGGTTTTCTCAATTCACCTTTGACACAGACATCATGTTTGTTGTTAGAGTACCAGTCTTGTCGCTACAAATTATCGTCGTGCAACCTAAGGTCTCCACCGAAGGCAGAGATCTCACAATTGCATGTAAACGTGCCATTCTTTTAGTTCCAAGAGCCAAGCACCTAAATAAACACCAATTATATAGCAAGGAAAAACATAAAGAAAGTAAATATGAAGATTTCTTAAAGAAAGACATCAAATTTGATCAAGATTGGAATAAACAATGATGCAAACAAAAAGCAAAAAAGTCCACGGAAAGCATTCACAATTCATAATTTTTAAAAAGTGAAACAGGGAAGATCAATTGCCGCTTCAGAAATGCTGCAAACAACTAGGATTATTTTTGTTCTTAAAATTGAATAAAACGCTATTTAAAGCAATGTAAGAGCTTGAATTGTTAGCAGACACTTGAAATTATCAAAACAAAATTAAGTCAAGGAAAATTTTAATGATTTTAATTATTTACAAAAAATGAAAGTGAAGTGCCAGATGATAGATCTTCAAAAAATAAGTGAGATAATCTTTTACTGTATTATGAATTCTCATCGTTAAATTGGAAACACTTCACACTTTTCATCAGCGTAAGTTTATTTCAAACGCTTATCAGAACTCCAATGACATGTTCAACATCGCAGAACTTGCAGCACGTCTTAGTTCTTTATCGAAACTTAGTTGAAAACTTTGATTGGGCAGCCCATACAAGGTATTTAAATAGCAATGAAAAAGCAATTTCATCAATGTAAGGATCACACAGTAGCACAACTTACTTTCATCAAAATGCAGTTTTCTCTAAAAAGTGGCTGTTGGAGATTTACATTATCACGGCAAGAACAAGGAACTCATAAATAACTCGATGAAGTAACATGATACCCTACTAATCTAATTTACGTAGTTTTCTTTCCTCATTCCTCGTTACTTATGAGTTGAAAAATGTGCTATACTTATCTTAATTAATATTTGCATTAAATCACTGAACTCAAACAGAAAGAGCACAGACAAAGAGTTATGAATGATGCTTGCTATAACCTCAAAATTGAAACGAGATAATTTTCTTGAATAAATCTAGCCAATCCAGAATCAAGAACACTCACGTAGTAACAACAGCTGGAAGCCCTTCAGGAATTGCTGCAACTGCAAGAGCCACTGCAACCTATCCAAATCAAGCATTAGAAGAGAGAAAGGAGTATAGAGCCATTAGGGCTGGTGTTAGTAGAAAGCAGTGGTGGAACAAGGGGCTGAGGGTGATTATCACCCCCTAGATGTATAACATGAAAGTTTAACCCCTAAATCTTTTGCAATTATGTATATTATAGAAATTTTATTTTTGTGTGAACTCTTTCGCACCCTCTCCCCTCTTTCTTATTTGAAATTCTAATAATGACAGTAGTTGAAAGTATACATCTATACCATTAATGACACAAATTACAAACTTTAAGATAGCATCTTGTTACAAAGATGATTGAGCTACTTTATGTTTAAGCATGTAAAAAAACTAAAAAACAGTATTCTAATATAGTAATGTCAATTTGTCATTGATATGGATGTATTCAATATAAAAAGAAGGTGACCCAATGCGTGGAGCTCCAACTAATTTTGATACGCAGTAAACATAGTCAATACACACTTAATACACAGTCGATAGACATTCAATACACACTCAATACACGGACAATGAACAAAAACACCAATTGAATTTTCTAGGTTGGGTCATCGGATCATGAACTATAAAAAATATATATTAAAAATTCACATGTAAAATCAACGTGTCACAATTTCATAAGAGTCTAAATGTAGAGCTACGCCAGGACTCCGCACGTAATAATTTCTCAAAATTATGAACACTCAAACTTCTAGCTTGAGCAATGTCAATCCTTATAATTCATGGCATTGTAAAAAAAATTAACTAGACGACCTACAAAATCGAGCATTGACACACATTTCTTATTGTGGGCTCCAAAAATAAACGCCCCAGCCTCTCTGGCTCGCTTTCTTTTGATGGGGGGAGTTTTAACGAGTTTAGGTTTCTGGATAAATTTCCAAAAGGCATATTGGTTTTAGATGAGTCACTACCCAGAGATTTCACCCTCATTTTGCAAGGAATTTATGACCTGAGTTCTGTTTTTCTATAGGCGCAAGCCCCTATAGTTAATTACCCCTCCCAATAATTAGAGAGAACTTTCAATTAAGGTTAATCATTAAACAGGTCACAATAAGGAACTAATGTATAATAACAGCAATTTTAGGATTTGAATTTTGGAGTTCATGATTTGAAATTTATCACTGTATACTTAAAACAAGTGATGGAGGAATGAAGACAGGCCCGATCAAAATCTCATAATTCTGTCATCCCTGGCTGTTGTGTACCCTGGTCCTATTTAGTTAGAGGAGTTAGTCAACCCAACCTGACAGAAAAAACCTTCTTATAAGCCATTGGTTGCTTCGTCCAAGAATATCTTGTAGACTTGGGGTAGATGTTAGTCTAAGATGATAAATTTATGTCAAAATAAGCTAATAGAGGGCTTTATAACTTATAGAAGGCACCCTATAAATTATTTCTCAACGGGATTTTAACCATTAGGGAATATACGGGCTTTGGGCATGAAAATAATATAGTCCATTTTGCAGCATAATCATCTAGTCATAGGGCATGTGCCACATCCCTGCTAGTGATAAATTAACTAAGAATGAATTGTAATAACACATTCTACAAGACATCTAATCTTTGTGAGCTGAAGTTATTCTTCAATTCTTCATCATCGTCATACCATTGTGAAATGTGGATGGATTTTAGTTTTAAGTTTTTGGAGATCAAATTTTCATTTGAATATTTAGAATTTAATAGATATTAGATTTTTTTAAATTTAATAGGCTTTAAAAATTGATCCATCCGATTGAGATTAGCTTTCAACATAGCTATCGTCGAGGTGATTTTGAAAACACTTTAAAAGTTAGTGTTTCATGAGAGTTTATGAGGCATCTTAAAATATGGGTTCCCCTCCGGTTGAGATTAGCTTTCAATACGGCCATCATTAGGAAGACTTTATAATCACTTTAAAATATTTGTATTTATATTAAGTCTCATGGATATTTTGAAAGGCAGGGTCTCCTCTGGTTGAGATTTTTTATCAACGCGACCATCATCGGGGTGATTTTGAAATCACTTTAAAAGTTATTTTCATGAGAGTTTAGGAGTCATCTTGAAAATATGGGATCACCTCCAATTGAGATTTGTAATCTACACGGCCATCATCAGAGTATTTGAACACTATTAGCGAATCTGCAAAGCATTCTCAGATCTTGCATTTAGGAGCTTGATATGAAGATTGGAGCACATGCGAAAAAATTGTTGAGCCACTCCAACTCTTTTATGATGTCAATATTCAATACTCTTCAAACAAAACAAGTATCCTTCCTTTGCCAACATAACCCAAGTATTCTAGTTCCAATTTGAGAGCATCTTCTAATACATTATTCAAAGTTGAGGTCTTAGCATCGACTGCCGATAATACTACACCAAGGCTAGTAATTGATTCAATCAAACCCCCATAGACGATACTCTTCAGAACTTCCCATTCATTTTCCTTACTTCCACTAACAACTGATTGCCAACACTTATCTATACATCACCAACTGGTAGGAATATTATAGGTTGGGCAGCAGAAATACTAATTAGGTCCTTTTGAAAAGTTCTTTGGGAAGAAGGTTCAATTATTACAATAGACCGAATCATATCATCATCATGCGGTAAGCAAACAGTAGCAGGTAGTATTATTTCATCAACATTATGGTTGTTTTGATCAATTCCTCCTGATATAGAAGGCTTGTTTATAATCACTGGCATGATGTCACCATCATCTGAAATAATCTTTAAATTTGTATAATAACAATCTCCAGTGTTGGCAGCTTCAAATACAAGTAGAGCTAGAGCATTCTTACTTTCATTTCGCAATTGATCCCCACTAGATGATAACTCAAGCACATTTGGAAATTGAGTTGTATTTGTAAAGCTGTAATGAAATGATTTTCTTATAGATTATTGTCCCCACCAAATGAAATCTCAAGCTGGGGTTGCAATTGAGCTGCACCGTCATTTTTGCATTTCGCATTTCTTGTATAGTTTGGTGTGTTAGATGCCAAAAGAACTAGAGAAGTATGGTTCTTTTGTTTGACAATCAGTTACTATTAAACATTTTTTTTTTTTACTATTAAACAATTAATTACACCATATTTCCATCTAATTAAATCATGGAAGTGCTAAGTCTTCAATTTTTAGATACAACATCAATTTATGAATTTTAATAAGCCAAAGACCTACATTCACTCATTCAAAAGATCTTGAGATGTACATCATACAAAATATATTTGACTCACTTTCTTCACCAAGTTCTTAAATGCAACCAAAAATAGTGCGAATTAAATACATGTTGTTGATAATTAATTTATTTAATTTGAAAATAAAATTTTCCTCAAAAAATTTGGTAGCCTTCCGAAGTCCCCTCCCCGTGAAGGGATGTTGAGATGGTACTAGCCATTGGTTATTCCCGGCCGTATCAAACATACGACGGTGAGAGAACCTCAAATAAAATTCTTCCTGGCTGAATTGAAGATACAACGACGCGGGATCCTCAAATCAAGTATTCTTGGTCGGATCAAAAATGCAATGGCTCGAGTTTTCAAATTAAATACATCTTTGCTTTGTTATTATTATTATTATTTTATTATTTATATTTATATATATATATATATATATAATACAAAAGCATTCCTCAATTAACCTTTTATATTCTAGAGCATTAGCAATGATGCACGGACACTTCTGCTCAAAGAGACGTGCAGTATCCGACACGCATTGAACACGACACTCGTCTGACACACCTCCGACACGTGACGGACATGTCAAAAATGTGTCCTCTTAAAAAAAATATTAAATACAAATTGGGCACGCGTGCCTTAAATGTTCTATTAATTTTTTAAAATATAATTTCTTGTATTCAAATTTTAAAAAATAAATTTCTTATTTTCTCTCGATAACATCAAATCAATCGCCCTCCCTTAATTCCTCATTCATCGAATATTTTCATTTTTCATTTCTCTTTGGCGGTTGCGACTTTGGTTTCACAATAATGTTTGATGTCATCTCAACATTAACGTTTAACGTCATTATAATATCAACATTTCAAAAACATCTCAACATTAAATTATGGCACTGTCTGGACATTAATGCTTGATGTTAACAATTTTTACACCCACAACTTCATAGCTTATCTTTATCTGACATCATTTTAATATCGAAGACAGATGCCCGCTCGATTTTGATGTCCGATACTTGTTGCATAACATCAATGCTCAACTCTTGATATCATTGTCGTCTTCTCGATTTATGTATAATACACAGCATCGACGCCCGACTCTTGGCATCCTAATATTAATCATTTTAAACACAAATTCTACTTAAATGACTAATCATTTCTAAATTACTTTTACTATTATACTTATTCAATTCCACGCACTATTTTTAAAATATACAAATTTTAATATTATGTCCAACCTGTGTTCGTATCCTATATTTACAATAATTGACATTTCCCGTGTTTGTGTCATGTCGTATCCGTGTCGTCGGGTTTGTGTCAGTGCATTATAGAGCATTACTAATAAGGGGAAGTACATGGGCACTAAACAAGGGAGTGAAGACGAAAAAAAGGCTCTCTGCACTTATGGTTGGAGAAAACATAAGGCAAAGTGGAGTACGAGGAAGGGTTGGATCGCTGATTGGCCGCAAGAGTAGTGTGTGCAGGGGTGCTGCAAATGGTGCGGGCGTTAAGACAAAGTGGACCACGCAGGAAGAGCGTGGGTAAATGTTGGCTCAAGAAAAACGGCATGAATGCATGAATCCTACTTTGCAACTGTAGGATTCCATTTTCTTTTAGTCAGATTGCAATTAACCAGATTTCCTCTGAGGATAGTACAACAACAACAACAACATCAAGCCTTTATCCCACTACGTGGGGTCGGCTACATGAATCCTTTTTCTCCATTATGTCCTATTAAAAGTCAAATTTATTTCCTCTTAGGATAGTGTTAGAATTTAATTAGATCTAGGGTCCTTACTTCCCATGAGCACAAGCACTCATAGTTAATTACCCCTCTTAACACGTACGAGAGAACTCTCGATTAAGAATGAATAAATTTTAGATATTTAGTCTCAATTGTGAAAAAAAATGGAGGTAAACCCGATCAAGATCCCATGGTTCTGTCGTCCCGAGTATGCCGTAGATTTCAGTCTACCAACACTAACAATCATTGAGAGTAATGTCCAGGGAATCTGATTAGCACCTATGGGTTACCTCCTCTCAGGGATCCCAAGTATACTGAAGTGGTTAGATGTGAGTTTTAGTTTTAGTTCTATTTTGAATTTTGGGGTTTACATCTATTAGAATACATATAAATTGATTTGGTTTGAGATTTATAACTTCATTTAGAAGTAACCCAGGAGTTTGGATTCCAACGGGTCTTATGACTTCCTTAGAAAGTAGCACAGGTATTTAGATTTAGGTTGGGACTTACGACTTTCATATAAAGTAGACTGGGGATTTAAATTTATGTTGGGACTTACGGTTTTTGTAGAAAATATCCCAGGTATTTGGAATGGGGCTTACTGCTATATTTATGAGTTTCACAAAGATAGGTCTTACAACCTAACCCTACAGCAAGGCTGCCCGGGAGTTTTTAATTGTTTGGGTAGGTCTTATAACTTCCCTTAGGAAGTAGCTGAAAAGCGGCTCATGCAACTTAATCCCTTAAAATTAAGATGGCCAAAGGTTTAAATTTGATTATTTGAGTGTTGGGATAATTGCAATTTATTTAGTAATTTTTCTAAAATGTGGGTCTTACGACTTCACTTAAAAGTTGGCTAATGATGGTCTTACGACCTAGCCCGAATTTTTCTTCTTCATCATTATGAGAGTTATTCAATAAACATTAAAACTTCAAAGAAAAAAGAAAAAGAACACATGTTTGAGTTTGTGTCGAGGATCCCTTGAAGTAAAAAAACCACTCTCCAAAAAGTATCATGGGATTGATTACACAACCTGGGGCAAGATTATACAACCTATTTTTCATCCCCAAACTGCCTCAAAGTTAAAATTAGAGACAATTTAGTTGTAGTTACTCGTTCTTAATGTTTTCTAGACATTACAATCACCCACAATAACCAATAATTTTAGTAGTACATTTAGGCAATAAGTTTAAATTTATAAATATGCCTCGACTTTAAGAAAAATGGAAAATTCAATCTTGTTGCCTGGTAAATGGCAATTTCCTAAATGCAAAAAAACCACTCTCCAAAAAGTATCATGGCATTGAATCACCATAAAATGTGCTAAAAGATAGTCTTTACAAATAGAACAAGATTCCTGAATGATCCATAAACATCGAGGATTGTGTTAAATCCATCAAAAACAATGCCAATGGGCCAAGACTTCGACCAATGAATTGATAAGTATGATGATGTATTCTAGAAAAATAAATGGGCCTAAATATAACTGAATAGAGCTATGAGTAACAAATTTGGTTGTAAAATCCTCTCAAAGATAACAAATCATCAGAATGTCCTAGATCTTCAATTCAAAAATACTCAATATCAACTCAAGCTATCAAAAAATAGGCCAAAGGACCTGATTCAAACATATTATCTTCCAGTTGATCCAAGAATTCGGGTGAGTTATTGCCTCAATATGCCTACCAGAATATGCAATAAATTGAAAACTCAACTCAACCAACCTAATCAATTAGGTTGCCTTGCTAGCACACTAAGGTTGCAACACGCATTATTGGGTCGATTTCAATATATGAGTCATAAATCTCATATGTGAGCATAATGAAAGCTAAGATAGTAAGCCTCAACCTTCTCAGACACTCACAAGTATAATACCCCTAAAATTCAAATTAATATAATCTCAAATAGTAGACACAACTCAGGAATCTAAATGATACATATCAACCTATCTTGCCTATCAGATACGACAATAAAGCCCATCATTGGGCTTTGCTTTTGTAAGGGTCTTACAATAGAAGAAAGCCCCATCACAATTGATTTGAGTTGGCGCAAAGCCAAAAAACCCATTAAATCAAGCCAATCTAACTTTGGGACACATTACCTATAGGGAAAGGCCATAAGACCCATCACTAGGCTTTCCTTTTCTTTAAGGTTATGAGTCTCACATATGGGCTTTCTAATAGATGTAAATTTCATCCAAATTACTTCAGATCAACATAGAGCTAGTAAGCAAATTCCATCAAAATTATTTCAGATCAACATAGAGCTAGTAAGCCCAATAAATCAAAATTTGTGCCTTCTAATAAATGTAAGCATTCCAATAATTGTAAGCCCAACACAAATTAAATTCAAGTTAGATTCCATACTAAAAAACACACCAATTAAAATAAAAAACTACAAACTAGAAAACCATATGTTTCTTATAAATACTTTTAAATTCAAAATAAAACTCATGAATAACTGATGGTCATGTTATGCCTGTAAGCTCTTGTCAACATGTATGGTAAATTTGAAAAACAAGTGGTTATGCTTTGTCCCTCTAAATTATTCAACGAAAATAGAATGTTCAATCCTCTGTTAATGAACGAGTTTACATTTACCCTACATTTCCACCTATTTTCCTTTTAAGAGGAGAAAAACCAATATTGCTAATTAAATTCCTGAAAAACATTACAATTTATAGCTATCTGGCGGCAACAAATTCAATCTGTTAGCGTATCCAATATGATAGAAAGATGGAATCATTCTCTATTCAACTATACTGAAATTTCACTTTAAGATAATCTAAAAGAGAGTCTAAGCAATCTCAATAATCAAGAGTGTTATCCAGTAAGCAGGAGGGGCAATTAACTTTACGGGCATGTGCCTCTACGAAATCTTGACCCCAAATCTAAATAAACCCTGAACTAAATGATAAAGAAAATATAATTAAAATCAAATACGTCTACCTAAAGAAAAACTACCCCTGAGTTTCTTCTCGTTTATTGTCAATGAAGCTTACAGGGAAAGCCTTGGCTTTTCGTAAGCAATCACAATGGAAAGAAACCAAATGGAAAGAAAAAAAATATTCAAAGAAATTAGGTAAACTTATAAGCAATTGTATGTTTTAAAGGGTAACAATAGGAAAGGAGTAGAATGATTGTGGATACAGAAATAAAAAATAAATTCATAAAGAATATAAATTAAGTGAAAAGTTAAATGATAAGGTTAGATAACTATTAGTGAAGATAATATAAATGTAGTTAGAGCTTATGTTCTTAAATTGAAAAGATAACTTGAAAATTAATCTTACAAAGAGATGGATAAACTACAAACATATACAAAGAGATATTTCTTAAAGTATGTATTCATTCAAGATCATAGGTAACTATGAAATCCAAGTATAGCTTCCCTATTGCTTTTCAATCTCCTAGTCTAAACCCAACATGAATTTGCCCATAGTCATCGTAGTCAATTTACATCACCCTATTGTCCTCACCAATAATTAACTTAACAACAAACACCTTATCACTAATCATATTCACCTCAGAAAATTTATCTTTAAACTTTATATCCACTACGATCACAATCAGATTTATTGGCAAGTACAATATAAAATAACTTAAACATAAATAAAGTCCTTGAATTTCCCCCCATTTCATTTAGTTTAATGTAAACAAACACTATTTGTTTTTCTAATACAAAATAATTAAGAAAATAGCTATGATGATTAATTTGTCAACTCCATATTTTCTCTAAGCCAGCCAATCCTATTTAATAATTAAATAGTATGGTGTCAAATTATGAAGATGACAACTTTTTTTTTTCACCCATGATGGTGAAAACAAGGATTAGAAACTAACATTTGCAAGAAGCCATGCATGATAATTTTGAGTTAAAAGAAATACCTTGAAATAGTGGATGGCACCTCTTATAAAGCCACCATGAGAAGGATCCTGGAAATGACCAATATTGACAACCCAAACAAGCACACAAATCCCTGCAATGACCTAAAAGTAGACATATAGATAAGCTCCCTCAATCACAAGAATGGCCAACTACATAACTACATGAGAGAAACAGCAGGCTTCTTACAAGAAAAAACTAACAACAATAACTGCTATAAGAGATCCCCATATAACAGCAAAAGAGCAGCAGATAAAGAATATACTTTCTATTACATGCATCAGGAAGAGCCAAATCAGTAATGAAGTTCCATCCCAGTAAGTACAATATGTATTATAATTAAGAGAAAATCATAACTAAAGATACCACATTTCACATACTAATATAGTTACAACAACAACTACATCAAGCCATCATCCCAGTATGTGGGGTCGGCTATGCAAATGTTTTTTATCTATTATGTCATATTAAGAGTCAAATTCTCATTTAAATTTAATAAAGAAAGATCATTTATAATACTTTCTAATCAAGTCTCAAAAATTTTCAGATGCAACCAGCAATCAGCATCGTTTAAGTGGAGTAATAAATTCTTCAGGCCAGATAAAAACAAATTCACTTCAAACAACAGTACTTGTGATATGCTACAATATTAAGGGTGAAAGGAAATATCACAGTCATGACCAAGTACTTCACTATCCTTTCAATTTGGGACTTCAACACATTATCCGCATTATCTCATTTCTTTTAGGGAGGAAAATGCCTGGTAACAACATAATAGCAGAAATTATAAAATCTGGATAAGGAATGGCTCAGTGTACCTTAGCCAGGAATTTTCCAAACTCATCAAGCTTTTTCTTTAAAGGTGTAACTTCCTGCGATGCAAAGTTTTAACACAAGGGCCGTAGTAACAAAGCATTGAAGGACACATAGAAAATAAAAAATTGTCAAGAAATATTATATGAAATGTGCATAAGGATTTCATAGAATCTGAGACAAGCAGAACATACATCTTCAGTTCGTAACATTGCATCACGTATATTGCCCATTGCAGTGTTAGAGCCTACACCAACAACAACAGCTCTAGCCCTACCAGCCACTACCACAGTACCCTAGATAGTCAAAAATAAGAATAATTACTAACTTCATCCATCATTATGAGGATATGAAAAAAAAAGCAATGTTAGAAGAGGCGTACTAGTGTAAGCGCAAATTCTTTAAGTCAATATTCATAAAACATTATTAAGACTCTAAATACATAAAAATAAACCATGCTCAACAAACTGCCTAGTAAGTATAAATACAATGACACTGAAATTCGGATATTAAAACCAGAACAAGGATTTATCCTCAAAGATATCACTTGCCACTCGGTAAAAATATTTTATGCATCTATTGCTTCGCTCAAAGTTAGAATGACAGTGAAACCTATATAAGAGGGGTTCTGCTGCTATGGAGGATTTTTCCTCCGTCTTTGACCATATATTATCACTAACTTTTGTGGCAAAAAATTCACAGCAAACAAACACAAATCTTAAATGAATTACTTCATAACCAAGTCAAATGTTATATTGATTATTTAAAAGTTAAAAGTAAAATACTGTATGATCATATCAAAGATCATTGGAACAATTTTGCGCATCTAAGACAAAATGACCTCAAAAGTGGGCTTTCAGCTTGTTATCAACAAAATTTCGTATCTTTGTAGTCTGGCGTAGGGGTATGCAAATTGATCCCTCCAAATTAAAACAATCATAAACATGCCACCCCCTTAGAGTCTTGCACAACTAAGGAATCTATAAGGGAAGCCTTCTTTTTTTAAAATATTCATAAAATATATATTTAAAAGATGTCAATCATTTGCAACTTTGGTGAAACAAAAATTATCATTTTATATGGGGTAAAAGTTCTTGAAAATCATTTGATAGTATGAAATACTACCTTATGCGATCACTTGTTCTTGAACCCAATCGCAACAAAACCAATAATATCATATACAAATGCCATGGATGAATCAATTTGTGCTCACTCAGCCCAAGCAAATGAAGAGAAAAAGAAAAAACTCTTTATTAACATGAAAAGGGAAGCATAAAATTAAGTTAACAGCTATAGAGATGATGATGCTCAGGTGAATGAGTAGATTTGCTCTTAGAGACAAAATGCAAAACAACTAAATACATGAAAAGGTTGGAGTAGCTACAGTGGCAGATAAGATTACAGAATCAACTAAGATGGTTTGATCACATAAAACGTCGGATGACCGGTTGGGAGAGTAAAAGTATTATATTTGTCCTATGTTAAAAAAGGTGAAGGTAGACTGATACGCTTGGGGGGGAGGCTGCAGCCAAGCCAAATGAATTCTTATTCATTATGTAAGTAATCAAGGGGGAGTTGTTTAAGAAAGATTTTATTGTAGAAGGCTTTAATTTTGGAATATTTTAATATTTTAAGAAGGTTTTAATTATTAAAGGTTTTAATTGTGTGTTAGAGCTATTTAAGGAGTTTTGTCTAGGGTTTTCATTTTGCATGTTGAGTTTATTTTCCTCTTGTAGTATATTTCGTTATTAGTTGAAGTAAAAAAAATCATCCCCTATATTTGTGTACCTGCAAGATTTCGTTGTTTTTGCTTCCAAGATCCATCAAATTGGTATAAGAGTAAGTTTTTTGAGATATGACAGCAAAAAAGGTGGATGTGTTGGAAGGAAAAGACGAGCAAATCAAATTCCAGATGTAGAAGTTCTCAACCATCGAAGAAAGGTTTTAGCCATGAAGAATCAGAGGGAGAGCCGATTTGAAGGATTAGAAGAGATTATAAGGAAGCACATGGAGATGCAAACAAAAACTCCACTGGCGGTTCCGATAACTAACCCTAACCAAGATTTGACCAGGATTCCCTTGACCAAATCTAAGTGAAAGGAGATCATATGGGAGAAGTTCGACAAGGAGAGTTTCTAACATCAAGAGCAACATCCTAGGGCTCTGATAAGGGGCAGATCAAAGTTTCCGGATGGGGAGACAGCAAGGAGGGAATTTTGTGATGGAGGTTATAATACCCAAAATTTTCAAAAATTTTAAGCATGAATTTTTTTCTTTTTTCAAAAATATACTCATTTTCAAAGTTTTTTTTTATTAAATTCTATTTTAAATTTCAAATATTTTGATTATATATATATATATATATATATAAGTGTATATATACAAATTCATTTGATAGTTTATCCAATTAATAGTTCATTAATATCTAATTAAATGTTTATTGTTATTAACAATCAACTACTACAGTAAAATTAGAAACTAATTGTGTACTATAGCAATTCCACTTAAACCGGCCTGCATAAAGCTGATGGGATCCTATGGCTAGGAACAGTTGAAAAGGTTTAGTGGAGTTAGGAGTGTTATTATAATATTAATAGTGTGATAAGTTTTATTCTTTTGAGGCATTAACATTTCTTCTTTTCCCCACCCGTCCCTCTTTGGACAGCGGAAGCAAGCTGCAAGCTGAGGAGCGGGAACTGCTTGTTGCGGCTACTATTGTAGGCTGCTGTGAAGGAAAATCTCAGAAAACAAACAACAACATCAAGCCTTTGTCCCACTATGTGGGGTCGGCTACATGAATCCTTTTTTGCCATTGTGTCCGGTTAAAAGTCAAATTCTCATTTAAATCTAATAAAGAAATATCGTTTCTAATATTTTCTAACCAAGACTTTTTAGCTCTACCTCTACCTTTTTTAACATAAGTCAAATCTAATACCTCAACTTTCCTAATCGGGTCATCGGAAGGCCTCCGTTTAATGTGACCAAGGTGACTCTCTCTAATCTTATCTTCCACTGGAGCTACTCCAGCCTTTTCACTTATATGCTCATTTTGGATCCTATCTCTAAGGATCAAGCCACTTATCCACCTAAGCATCCTCATCTCTACAATACTTAACTTCGTATTATGCTTCTTTTTTAACAACCAACATTTGGAACCATAAAGCATTGAGGGTCTCACCACCATCTTATAGAATTTTCCCTTAAGTTTGAGGACTTTTCTATCGCATAATAAGCTCGATGCATTCCTCCACTACAACCATCCAACTTGAATTCTGCTGATAATATCCCCATCAATTTCACCACACTCTGAACAATATATCCAAGATATCTAAAACGTGTACTCTTATTAATAACATGATCGCCCAAAGTCACAATCCCCTCACTAGATCTATTGCTACTAAAATTACACTCCATATATTCAGTTTTAGATCTACTAAAGCGAAAACCTTTAGACTCTAAAGTTGACCTACATAATTCAAGTTTACCTTCAACTCCCTCTCTAGTCTTATCAACAAGAAGAATATCATCAGCAAAAAGCAAACACCAAGGTACATCCTCTTACAAATGTCTAGTGAGAACATCCATGACTAAAGCAAAAAGATATGGACTTAAGGCTGATCCTTGATGTAATACAACCGAAATAGGAAAATAATTTGTCAAACCACCTTGTGTTTGAATACAAGTAATAGCTCCTGCATACATATCTTTAATGATTTGAATATAAGCATTAATAACTCCTTTCTTTTCAAGAACTCTCCATACCACTTCTCTTGGAACTTTATCATATGCTTTCTCTAAATCAATAAATATCATATGTAGATCCTCCTTATTCTCTCTATATTTCTCCATCAAACCTCTCAATAAATGTATGGCTTCCATAGTAGACCCGGCATGAATCCAAATTGATTTTGAGAAACATTAGTATATGCTCCATAACTCGCTCCCATAGTTTTAAAGTATGACATATTAACTTAATTCCTCTATAATTCGCACGCCCTTGTGCATTACCTTTATTCTTAAAAATAGGATTTAACACACTCATCCTCCACTGATCTGGCATCTTTTTAGTCTTCAAAGCAGTATTAAAAAGAATTAAGGAAAATTAAAAAATGACTAATATTATTGCTGAAATCTGTAAGAAACGGGCTGAAATTAGTGTGTACTGAAATCAGTGTTGCTGGAATTCAGTAATTTCTAGAAATCAGAAGCTGGTTATTATGCGGAAAAGTTGGGGAAAACTACTGCGGGCTAATGTTTGTTTTGATAGGCTGCTGTTTGTGGTGAAGGAAAAGGTCAGCAAACAAACGTGTGCTGAAGTTAATTGCGGAAATTCAGGTTTGCTGAATTTAATTTCTGGAATTCAGTTCAAGTGCTGAGTTTGTGTGCGTAAATCAATATTTGTTAAAATCAATAAGGAAAAGAGATAAATGTTGTTGTTATTGCTGAAAATTTCTGAAACCCTATAGCTGAAATCAGTGGGGAATTCAGTGGGGAATTAATAAGAAAGAAAAGAAAGGAAGAAGGAAACAGGAGGTGAGGAATTTTGGGTTGAATGAGGAGTGCTTTGAGGAAAACATGTAAGATTTTTATATATAGCCTGAATTTGTGGCAGGATTTATATGAAAGGCAAATGCTTATGTTTAGGTTGTTCAAAAAAGAAAAAGAAGTCGGGGTTTCGGAGAGCATCACCCGACTACCCTAGAGAACGAGGTGAGATACCCAAACTTTGGTATAGGAAATAATAACATTTTATATAATTGTGACCGCATTTTTATATGATTGCGATAGCATTATTTTTAATTTCATTATGTATTTCGTAACTAGTTCATTAAGTATTTATTTCACTAACAATTTGAGGATTGTTATGAAAATGTGATACGTATTAAAAGGGTAAATGAAAATGCTAATGAGATAAGTCATATAAGAGGGATAAGCCCGCACAAGTAAAGTCGAAAGACCTGACGAGATAAATCTCATAGAAGCCGTACATAAAGTATCCTACACTTGCTCAATTTTAAAAATTGAGAATTCGGACTCAACCTTGAATGAGAAGAGTGGCCCTCAATTTTAAAAATTGGGAATACATATCCAGCCTTGAATTTGAGAGCTGAGAGTGCAAAAGCCTATAGTCATCAGATGACTTACCTAATGTATTGAACAGTAAATTGAATAGGAAACATAAAAAATTAAATATACATTGATGTTTTGTGCAGCTTATGATTATCATAGAAATCTCCATATGGTTTTCAATTAACTGCAAACATGTTTCTTATTTCTTATACGTTGCTTGTGTATT